AATGACAGCATAGAAAGAAGGCATTTTTGGAACACCGTAATTATGTAGTTCCTTCTCTCCTATTCAGAGAACTTACCACTTAGAAGCTTGAAACATCATTCTTCTATGAACACAGGTTTTTACTAACACTTTCAAAGCAACTCCCAACTTATCCCTCAAATGCTAGTTTTTTTATTCTTGAATAATAAAAATTTAAAAATAAAAGACTTGATTTTTATCTCAAGACTACTCATCAAAGAGAAATAGACATTATTTACTTAATATCAAATGACTTCAACAAGAGAAGACAAAAAAGGGGAAAACAGTCATCCAAAGGAATATTATGAGGTTCAAGGCAGCTGACAAAAGTCTTTAAAAAGATATTAAAAAGTAGACACACGATCAGATGTAACACAAAAATAATTCAATATGACAACACTAAAGAAAGTTTTCATGCAAGGACACCATGGAAATCCACATCTGTAACACAAAGCATTATCAAGATTGCATCTTGGACAGAGGCTTAAGCAGATACAAGAAAGGTATAAATGTGAACTGCAATGTCTGCCTTCTGAACATAAATCACCTAGTTAAGATCAACAGATACTACAAGAATAAAATGTTAATTCCTATTATGTGATTTTACACTATTCTTCTATATTATTATATTAGGAACATCTTTTTCCTTTTTAAGTCTAAGATAGTGTCAGTCTCCAAAAAGGAAAAAACTTACAAACCCATATAATGTTCCTTTGACCAAACTCTCTATTTTGAAAAGTTCATGTGAGCAAGAAGTCCTTGAGTGCCTAAGAATGAATGAATGGATGGAAAGATGGGTGAATGAATAAGGCTTTAAAAGTAATCACCAAGATCCAGGCAAAGCAGGGAGGGCAGAAATAAGATATGCACAAATTAAAATCACATTAAAAAGTCATGTTTTCTCTGCTCCTTTTCCTTCTTTATCTCTTCCTGACTCCTCACAAAACCAAGTACTCTAAACTTAAAACACCACTATGTATTCCATGTCCAAAGGCAACACAATTTACCAAATGTTTTAATTCCTCAGCATCCAAATTCGTATTACCTTAGCTTACTCTTAATTTTTAAATAGGAATTCATGTAATTTTAGACACAAAATTTTTTATCTGTTAATATTACCCACCTACTCCTGAGTTTTACATGAAAACTGAGGGTGTTTATAAATGGGGAAAAGTAAACATTAAACATTCATTGTTTGCTAAATAAATTTTTGTTTTATTCCTGAAAGAGGAGTAAAGAGAGATTATTATAATAGTTAAATCTCATTTCCCAGGTACTGATGATTTTTCCTAACAATGACAAACAAATCACACTCACTTTGCCATTTCTACAAATAGAATGCTGTTACATTTACCATTGTTCAGATAAGGAACATTAGGCCCTAAGGAAGTTGTGACTTCATGTCTCACAATAAAATAGTGGTGAACCTTTGTTAGTTGTTATAGTCTGCTAACAACTCCCGTAAAATGAAAATTTCTCACAGTCACTGCACATGTAAATAAAGCGTGCCTGGTTTTAATAGAAGTCACAATCCCAAAAGTTGTATAGCTACCCAATCATATTTTTAAATCTATCAGGAAAGTCAGCTATTGAAAGCTACTCCCTGAACATATTAACTGAATAAAACTCGTGTTTTTTAATTTTAAATATTTGAACCTTACTTTTCTTAAAAAAAAAAAAAAAAAAAACAGTAAATTTACATTTCTCAGGCATTTCAGATGTCTGAAAACAAAAAATACCATAAGCCTAGAGTCAGGTCAGCTGTCAGGAAAGATGCCACATCCTATTGAGTTATGATTGAGAGACAGAGCAGGGACATGCTCTATAGAGTAGCTAAGGCTGAGGAGAATGGTTAGAGAAAAAGCTAAGATCAGGATCTGAAAGTTGGATTAGACGACTTCCAAGATCCTGTCCAAATCTGTGACAGCATATCTGAAGGTACTTTTGAGCAGCAGTGATGGATATATATTGATTGGTTCACATATCTATCTGTTGTGAGATGTTTAACAGTAACTGAAAGCAGAACAATATCTAAAAGCAGATAATTAAGTTTGTACTTTCTCTGATATGAATACTGAATGTGGCAAATATAATCTAGAAGTGACTTTTCAAGAAATAAAAGTAATTCAATAGGAAAGAATATATCATAGAAAGAACCTCATCCCCTATCTCACACGATATAAAAAATCAATTCTGATGGATCACAGATATAAAAAGCTAAAACTATAAAGCTTCTAGAAGAAAGCATAAAATGTAATGAAGGTAAAGATTTGTTTACTTTATCACATGAAGGTAAAGATTTGTTAGAATTCAAAAGGCAATAACCATAAACAAAAAAATGGATAAACTAGACTTCATAAATACTTAACAGTTCTGCTCATCAAAAGATACCATTAAGAAAATGAATAGGAGCAAGCCAAGACTGGAAGAAATTATTCACAATGCATATATATGACAAAATAATCATACCCAGAATATATAAAGAACTCTACAAATTAACAATGAAATGACACACACTTCTCAAAAGAAGATATACAAACAGCCAATAAATACATGAAACAGATCTCAGAAACAATAATCACAAGGAATTAAAAGACTACCCCTTGGCCACTAGAACAGCTACAATGAAAAAGACTGACAAACTCTAAACGTTGTCAAGAATATGAAAAAAACAAAATTCTCATTCATTATTGGTGGAAATAAAAAAAGGTATGAACACTCCCCAGAACAGACAGGTAGTTTCTTATAAAGTTAAATAATACCTGCCATAGGACCAAACTGAAAACTATGCCCACAAAAAGATTTGTAAGAATATTATACAAGTTTTATTCATAAGTCAAAAATTTAACCCAAATATCCATCAACATTTAAATGGATAAGCAGTCTGTGCTATGTTTATGCAATGGAATATTACTTAGCACTAAAAAAGAATGAACTACTGATATTTGCAAAACCACAGTTGAATCTTAAAGACATTATACCAACCAAAATAAGTTGGATGATTCTATTTATCTGAAGTAATAGAATCAGCAAAACTCAACTGTTGTGATACAAATCAGATCGGTGATTGCTTCTAGAAAAGGAGGGGAATGACTAAGATGGGTAAAATGGAAGTCTATAGGATAATGAAGGTGTTCTAAATCTCGATAGTGCTGTGGACTATGTAGTGTGCACATTCATTAATACTCACAAATTTATATAATCAAATGTTGTATACTTTACCCAATGTAAATTTTACTTCAAATAAAAAAAACTCTTCAATAAAATAAGAATTACAAATGCTATAATTCTATTAGACTTGCTATATAAAGTTGTATCACTTGGCAATCTGAAACTACTTTCTGAGTATCCTCAGCTTTTAAAAACAAGTAAATATATTATGAGTAGTGATAGCCAGATTTCTCACTGTTGGTTAAAAAAAAGATGCAAATATGGAAAAGGGATGGGAATTACAAATATAGAAAAAGGAAATACTGTTTTATACTGACAGACTGAAATTAAAAGTGTATCAGTGTAAACTCAAAATTTTTAACAGATATTAATGTATGTGTGTCACGCACACACATATATAGGCATATCTCTATATGTGTATGTATATACATACACGCACAAACATTTCCTAGTTCTGCTGCAGAAAGGGCCTGGCAGTAACAACATACCACAGTAATGAGCATATCCAGTGGCCAAATCTTGGCTTCTAAATACCATTATCCAATAAAAGGATTCAGAACTTCTTGGAGAAAAGGACTGATTATGGGGCTGTAGAAGAGAAACTGCAAGATGAGTTTATTTATAAGAACTTGTTGCACCAGAAAGAAAGAACTCAAAAGATTCATGAGAACATGTCAAAAGGACAGAGAAGCCAGCTTGAAGGGGCAACCAGTGGCCACATCTGGAACCCTTTGGCTATCAAAATAAATAATAATGCATTCAATACATTACATTAAATAAGGTAAGAATTAATAAGTTCATATAGACATAAGTCAATAACTGGGGGACAAGGGAAGGCTTCTGCTTACATTAGAATATCAACTGACAAATAAGGAAATATAAACATTAGAAATAATAGAGTTAGAAAATCATCAATGGATGCTAAATCTAGAGGGTAAAAATCTGATGAGGAACATGTTTACATAATCCCAAAATCTAACTACAAGAAACTTTTCAGTAGAGAAATTTGGCAGATATCACCCAAGCAAGCAATCCCAAACTGATGCACTAAGAACACATTACTTCTGTGATATTTGTGCTCAAAATGCCTACCCAAATCTAGTCAAAAAGAAATAACAGACCCAAATTGGAGATACCCTATAAAATAGCCTGAGCTCCTAAAAAATATTAAGGTCATGAGCCACAAAGAACGACTGAGGAACTGTTTCAGATGAAAATGATTTAAGGGATATGATAAATATGAACCTGGGTGAAGGAGGAATGCTATAAAAAAAATCCTGCAAAGTTGATATTGTTTTACCCTTTTTACCAATAAGAAACCCCTTAAAAAGGTTAAACTTGTCCAAAGTCACAGTTAGCATACAGGTAAGCCAGCTCTGCCCACCTCTAAAGTCATGTACTTATTAGGCTAGTTGCTATTTCTGTGGCTAGCCATACTGGAGAGCTATAGTCTCAATCCAATATTTCCACATGCATTAAATTCAGTTAAAATTTGGTATTCTCTCATATTTTGTAAGAGAAATAATTAAAAGAATCCCCATAACTGTACCAAAGATGCACACTTCAAGTTATATAAATACAAAAAATACAGTGAATGTAAAGATAGCTGTCACTCATTTACTCTATAGCAACTTACTTCCAAAGAGTTTTATTAAAATATAAGTGAAAGTAAATTCTAGGTAGATCTGATAAATGAAAATTATAATAAAAGCTATTGTAATCTGCAAAAACTGAACCATAACAAATAAAAACGCACAGTGTTAGCACAGCTGCTGAATTCAAACTTCCATACTTACGAAAGGTACACATACCTTTTCCTAAATGTGTGTTTATGCTCATATATCTAGCTGTTCCTGTAAGGCTCTTGTGTTCTCTGTATGGTATGTGTTTCTTTGTCTCTGGATCAATATATTCCTTTGCCAAACCAAAATCTATAATGTGAATAACTTGCTGGGTTTTGTTTCCTGGTCGTCCTATTAAGAAGTTCTCAGGTTTTACATCTCTGTATATCAAGTTCTTTGAATGGACATATTCCATGCGAGAAATCTTAGTTTAAGAAAAAAAGAAGAGAAGTTTTATTTTGGGCTTTGACTAGCCTAAGCAAGTATGATAAAGGCAAGACAGAATGAAAACATACAAAAGAAATAAATCAGAAATTGTTTCAACCCCTTAAAAGTAAAATGATGTCAGCCCATCGTTCTTCAAATACATATAGCAAATTACAATTTAAAATCTTTGCCTTTACTATTATGGTCACTGTTAAACAAGAGTATTTGAATTTTATGAATTCCTTTCATATCAGTAAGTCTGATTCAATCAACACTTTCAGAGGATGCTACTTCATAAAATCAAAAAGTCATACTGATACAAGACCTTGAACTCAAAAGTATAAGCAGACATATGCAAAACGTTGCAATATAGTCTTCCTTATCAATTCAATAACCAAGCAACTTTTACAAGTATAAAAACAACAGCACTATTCAGTATCTTTTTCTTTTTCATAATGTTTCCCTTACTTTTTCCTAGGTATTAAACATTTAAAAATGATTAATCTTAAAGTTAGAAAGATCTTAAAGCTAGAAAAGTCTGGAATCCAACTCTAATATTAATAATATAGCTCATTTTTATTAATTATTTTACAAATTCTCAATGTTCATTGTACAAACTGTCATAAAACAGAGTATTACAAATAAGAAAATAAAACTGCTTCACTTAGTGATAATCATGGTTAACAATGCAATGTAAACATATGGTTACACAGGTCATTTTCGTTTGCTTAACAAACTTTGCAGCATACAATATACAGTATTCTATGTCTATAGATTCTTAATGATATGAGCATTTTCAAGGTCATGAAATATTCTTTGTTTTGTTTGGGGGAGTTGTTTGGTTTTTTGGTGTTTGGTGTGTGGTGGGCGGTGCGGGGGGGGAGGAGCGGACAGGATCCCACACTCTGCCACCCAGGCTGGAATGCATAGCTTGCTGCAGCTTCAACCTTCAACCTCTGGGTTCAAGCAATCCTCCTGCCTCAACCTCCTCAGCAACTGGGACTACACAAGCACACCACCACACCCGGCCTTTTTTTTTTTTTTTTTTTTTTTTAATTTTTTGTAGAGATGGAGTCACACTAAGTTGCCCAGATCGATCTTGAACTCCTGGGCTCAAGTGATCCTCCAGCCTCAGCCTGCCAAAGCACTGGAATTACAGGCACAAGCCACCACACTTAGCCTATGAAACAATCTTTAATGCGCACTTTTTAATAGCTGCATATTTTCCTCTGGCTATTAATTTATTCAACTAACCCTGTTATTTCTGCACATTTGGGTTGCTTCTCATTTTTTTATTATAAACATCCTTTCATATAAAGCTTTAAGCACCTGTGAAAACATCCACAGGACAAATTTGTAGAAGTAGAATTAATGAGTCAATGAATAAAAACAATTTTAAGACTTCTGCAGCACACTTCTGTTGGCATTTATTTCAAAACTGCCTTAAAACATTCTCTAATTGTTATCCAATGAATTCCCTGAAGTCTAAGTAGTTTATCAAGACTCTCTAATTCATTAGTTTGCCACTTGTTTTTCCAGGTCATAAAGTCTATTACCAAAATTAAGAATCCATGTTTCTGGCCGGGCATGGTGGCTCACGCCTATAATCCCAGCACTTTGGAAGGCCAAGGCAGGTGGATTACAAGGTCAGATCGAGATCATCCTGACTAACATGGTGAAACCCCATCTCTACAAAAAATACAAAAAAATTGGCCAGGTGTGGTGGCACGCGCCTGTAGTCCCAGCTATTCGGGAGGCTGAGGCAGGAGAATAGCTTGAACCTGGGAGGCAGAGGTTACAGTAAGCCGAGATGTCACCACTGCTCTCCAGCCTGGGCAACAAAGCAAGACTCTATCTCAAAAAAAAAAAAAAGAAAAAAAAAATCTATGTTTCTGAGGTTCTCTTTTGAAGTATTCATCTTTTATATGAAGAAATGGCTAGTGACAACTTCATTATCAAACTGAGCATTTTGATCTTAAAGCAATTATTATATTAGTTTTCATACAAATAAAATATACTTGACTAGTTATTTTAAGTTACATGGATCCCAGAAAGACAGTATGAAAAGTAGAAACATTTGTATTAGGTCAAATGCTCTGTAAGACAATATCACAGAACTTTAAACTTTTAATATGAATTTGTGACCAACAACCATGTAATCGTTCAAACAACTTCAAACACCCTATTTTACTTACCAGTTGTATAGCTATCATGAGAACTGTTTTAAGAGAAAATGTTCTGTCACACAAGTCAAACAAGTCTTCCAAACTAGGTCCCAGTAGTTCCAGCACCATAGCATTGTATTTACCACAAGGGCCGAAATAGTAAACTTGAGGTATACCATCTGGGGGAAAAGAAATACTCATTTAATAATTTCACCATCTTAAATACTAAGGTTTTCCTCTTAAAAACTGGTTTTAAAATTTAGTTTCAGGAACTAAAGCAGTACTATCACTTTTTCCAAATACGTAACTTTTCCTGACCAAACCTCCCCACCTCCCAATACCTTCTCTTTGATGTTCACACTGTAGCCTGGATACACCTCTATTGCAGCTGCGTGACTGAATTACATCATAAACAGTACTTCATTCTTTCTCTCTACCACCTTACTACTGGACAAAAGCTGGGCTTTTTAGCTTTATATTTCCATAGCCTGGAGAAACGCTTAGCACACAGTTAAAAGATTCCAGTTCTTTTGAACAAGAGAGTCGCTACTGGCTTTAATAACCCTGTGGTAGGCATACTGCTAAGATCACCACTGTCAAGATTCCCATCCTCTGGTTTATACACCTTGTATAAACGCCTCCCCTTGAAAGTGGGCAGGATTCCTAGGATCTCACTATTGTGACCAGGCTAACTTATATGGCAGATATAATCAAGGCTCCCATCAGTTGACTGTAAGTTGATCAAAAGGAGGAGAATCCTGATGGACCTGACCTATTCAGGTGAGCCTTTAAAAAGATGGTCTAGAAGTCAGAGATATTGGAAACAGCAGAGAAACTCTCCTGCTGGCCTTAAAGCAGCAAACCACCATGGTGTGGAGCGAGCTACATGCCAGATAGGAATCCTCGAGGAAGTAAGGGCCACAGTTCTATTGCCATGAGGAATTGAATTCTGAAAAGAACCAGTGAACTTAGGAGAGAGTACTGAGGCTCATGTAAGATTGTAGTCCAGGCTTACACCTTAATTTCCACATGGTAAGACTCTAAACAGATGACCCAGCTAAGCCATGCATGTATTCCTGACCCACAGAAATTGTGAGATAGTAAAGTCTTTCATTTTAAGCCAGTAAGAGCTAGTAATAATTCATTATGAAGCTATATAGAATAATACAAACTCCAAATATGAAGTCTGAATGCCCAGAAGTCATCTGTATTTTATTTTCAGAACTAACAGATTCCCAATAAACTGAAATATAAGTGATCAATTTACTTTATATGGAAGTTGTCAGAATCAAAACGGAGTCACTTATATTAAAACCCTGACAAACAGAGCTAGGGAAGGAGATGAAGGGAGGGTTCTCACACATATATATGCCTGATAACAAGAACTATCACATAAGACTGCAAAAACCACAACCTGGAACAAAAGCCACCACAACCTTACAAAAAATTACTCTGCAAGGACATCTGCCCAGGAAGTGCCTGTCCAACCATGGACTGATGCCATTCTTGTTAATGATCCTTGTAGCCAAGGATAATCTCTCAAAACAACTTATGTGACCCTCCTCATTTTTCCTTTAAAAATTTTTGTCTTCCTTTACCTCCCTGAATATACTCACATATATTCCCACTGAAATGCCCACTCCTAAATAACTATCATTTTCTTTTAGACAGTCTCCCTCTCTATTATTTAGTTTGAAACTTAACACTGCATTTATCTATTAGCATGAAAAAATGAACTTCTTCCACCACAAATGTCTCAGTTTTACTTCCGAGTGATTTTTTTCAATATATTGAAAGAGAAAACAAATCTAATGAAAACTCTCATTCTTTTTAATAAAAAGTTTTTTTAAATATAACATTCTTATTATTTACCCTATTATTTTGAATATAAATTATTGCAGGACAGAACAGAAAACAATGAACTAAAAATCAAGACAACTACATTCTTAGTGTCTAACCTAATATTCATCAGCTGTGTGGCTAGCTTGTCATTCAACCTCTCAAGTGGGCCTCTGTTTACTAATCTATAATAATATTAGTGATTTGGATAAGACAAGTATTTCTTGGATATGAATATGAGTGAGGCAGCAGAACATCTACAGGTGGGAATGTAAGCTAGTGTAATCACTGTAGTCCCAGCTTCTCGGGAGGCTGAAGTAGGAGGATCGCTTGAACCCAGGAGGTGGAGGTTGCAGTGAGCCAAGATCACGCCACTGCACTCCAGCCTGGGTGACAGAGCAAGATTCTTTCTCAAAAAAAAAAAAAAAAAAAAAAAAGAGAGAGATAGTGTAATCATAGCAGGAATGGATACAAATTCAAACTGCATACATGGTGCCCTCCCCAGAAACGGAGATTCTAATACACCCCAATATGTATATATCAGGACCCCCTGCAAACACACACACATCACACATGCTTGTCCCATCTCCTCCTGCTACTTGGAATCAAAGCCACTCCTACCACAGCCACTCTTATATGTATTTGTCATATCTACCCCTCACATGTGTAAAGGCAGAGAAAAGGTTCAGAAACAGGGAATGAGAGGCTTGTTAAGTTTATTCCAACTCTAAAATCCTGCCTTTACAATGCTATATACATTAAGAGGCTGGAGATGCAATTAAGATTTACAAACGGCTCTCAGCTACTAAGCTTTTAAAATTCTTTCCATAATGCTTTTTCCCCCTCTCTGCCACTGAAAGTTATTAATTTACATCCTCTCAATTTAACAATCTCTAATAACTTATTCCACTCCAGTTTGTTACTTCTGATATGCAGGGTGCATGGAAATTAGATCAAAACTTGGTAGAACTATATACAAAATGTAAAAATAAAAAGGTTTTGAACTTCTTCAATGAAAGGACTGCCGGCTGGGTGCGGTAGCTCATGCCTGTAATCCCAGTACTTTGGGAGGCTGAGGTGGGTAGATCATTTGAGGTCAGAAGTTTGAAACCAGCCTGGCCCACGTGGTGAAACCCCGTCTCTACTAAAAATACAAAACGGCCAGGCATGGTGACATGCGTCTGTAATGCCAGCTACTTGGGAGGCTGAGGCAGGAGAACTGCATGAACCCAGGAGGTGGAGGTTGCAATAAGTCAAGATTGCTCCACTGCACTCCAGCCTGGCTGACACAGCAAGACTCCATCTCAAAAAGAAAAAAAAAAAGGACTGTCAAAAGGTTCTCTACTTCCTTCTGAATCACCATCTATATTCCCAATAGTTAACGTTGTTGAGAAATGACTTCTGAGTATAACAGACAGCAGTGTATTTTGGTTTATAAAATGACTGTTTTTTTCAAAAGTTTTCAACAGTTTCCAAAACAGGAAAACCATTTAAGGAATTTCACTGTCTTAATTAATTTAACAAATACTTACTGAACATATACTATAACTTTATGGGACTGGGTTGGGCATTACAGATATGTAAGTGAATGAGAGACCATGCTAAGAATGCTTTAATCCAGGAATACAAAGTTGGGTTAATATTTAAAAATCCACCAATATAATTCACCATAATAACAGAAGAAATGGCAAAAACCATAAGACCATCTTAATGGGTGCTAAGAAAGCATTTGATATAACACTCAAAAATTTGGAATAGAAGGTTTCTAAATCTGATAAAGGGAATACAGGAAAAACTACCAGCTAACATCACATTTAATGGTGAAAGACGGAATGCTTTCCATTAACGATTGAGAGCAAATCAAGAACATTCACTTTTAACTTTGCTATTCAAGAGTACAATGAAGCAAAATAAATAAATAAAAAGCATTCTCAAGAATGAATGAAGAGACTCTTACTTCAAGAAAACCTGACATTTATTACCAATAATAAAATTAAAGCTTTCAAGCAATTCGAATTTTGTAAAAATTTTTATATGCTATGAAGACCTTGACAGTTTTCCAATACTTAAAAACTTGTTCTGATGGAACTATGGTGATATTAGCTATTATGATTTAATGTTGGGTAGTGAAATGTGTTAGTATTTGAAATACATGCATAACTCAATGAACCAGTGTCCTCCAAAAGATAATGCATATAGTTACAAAATCACACATGGGTAAATGGTTCATTCAAACTACAATGGATTTTAATGAATGAGAGCAGAAAAGGTTTTTTGGTATGATTTCTATACTCTACATTGTAACTGACCTTTAAGAAATGACTACTTGTCAAATTTTGGTGTAGTTTCAAAGGCATATTCATAATTTAAAAATTAATTAGTCAAGACTGACAGCTGTGGGTTAAAACATTGATGAGAAGAGAAAGTAGTACATTTTTGGAGGAAAATTACCCTATCCTTTTGCTTTTGGCGGAAAATTACCCTATCCTTTCCAAAGTAAGCATAAGTATGCATATAATGATGTTCAAGCTTCACTGTTTGTTACAGTTACAAAAAGAATTGGCAGCTACCTAAAAATCCACCAATTCTATGCTAATTAAACAAAGTATTAGCTTGGTGCAAATGTAATTGCAGTTTTTACACTGTTGGAATTTGCCGTTTGATATTGAAATACATTATTAAATGTGGTCATGTTATACATCATTTTAATGCGTGTTTCTCATTTTATTATTTTTGCTAATGACTTATTGTTGTTTACTTAAAATTTATTTTAGACTATGGAAATGTTAGACAAAAAGCAAATTTGAGTGATTTCCTTATTTGAGTTCAAAAATGGGTCGTAAGACAGTGGAAACAACATGCAACATCAACAATGCATTTGCCCCAGGAACTGCTAACAAACATACAGTATAGTGATGGTTCAAGAAGTTTTACAAAGGAGACAAGAGCCTTGAAGATGAGGAGCATAGTGGTTGGCCATCAGAAGCTGACAATGACCAACTGAGGGCAATCATCAAAGCTGATCCTCTTACAACTATCTTATATAGTTGCCAAAGAACTCATCATCGACCTTTCTATGGTTGTTCAGCATTTGAAGCAAGTTGGAAAGGTGAAAAAGGTCAATTAGTGGGTGCCTCATGAGCTGAGCAAAAATTTTTTTTGAAAACATCCTTTTGACGTGTCATCTTCTCTTACTTCACACAACAATGAACCATCTCTCAATCGTATTGTGACGTGAGACAAAGAATGGATTTTATATGACAACCGGTGACAACCAGCCCAGTGGATGAACCGAGAAGAAGCTCCAAAGCACTTCCCAAAGCCAAACTTGCACCGAAAA